AAACCCATTTTACTAGTACTGTACAACTTGTACAGTAAAATATGTGTACATTTGTTTATGTTTAGTCCAGAGGAGCATTGGCCTGCACATTTGTCAGTGTTTTATTTGGATGTTATACTATGTACATGTGGCAGGTTAAATCACTTACCGACCACCCAAAACATCAGACTTGGTGCAGATAAAGTGAATGCGCTGACACTCGCCACCATTTCCTATGAGTCTACAGGCACTTTTCAGGATCTCCCAGGGGTCATTCTCTGAGGCTGCTCGATTAATATCACTCACAATCCACACAGTAGAGCAACTTCCAACAAGCTGAAGAGAAATAACAGAAAATGTCTTGTGAATAATTAATTATCAGTCATTTCTAATAACATTGTGTTAGTTTTCAGATAACAATACAATTTTAATACACAACAAACAGCAGTGCATGTGAGCAAATGACCTTTTTCCACATTTTATCTCTGCCCTTGTTACAGTCCCCAGTTCCAGGGAGGTCCACAAGTGTGACATGCTGAAGAAGATCATTCTTAGGAACCCTGATAGTCACACACTTCACTAGTGGCCAATACCACCTCTTCAATTCTTCACCTTCTCCTTTTCGGTCACTTCTTGTATATTTGACAAATTCTGCAGATAGCTCTTCAGCCTGCATAAAAAGGTACAATAAAATTAAGGGAATGGAAGGTAATTTTAATTAAAAAAATGTCCAAAGTGCTTTTCAAATTGCACAGATATTCTTTTAAAAATGAGAATTTAAACACTATCATTGAATGAAATATTACCAGTACATCAAAAATGGGTGAATTGTAAATCCAAAGTGGAGGCAAACGGTCAACTTTGGGTCACTGTGATTAAAGATCAGAATTAAACATGGTGATATTTCAGCACTGCCTATGCTGGACATTATTACAATTACAGTGTGTGTATTATATTATCTTAATGCAGCTTCCACTGATGACCTAAGTGTTCTTGAGGTGAAATGGAAAAAGCATATTATAAACAGCTAATTACATCCCAGTCTGATACTGTAGGTGGTAGTATGTTATTTGGCATGAACGCTGCCTCAAGCAAACCTCCTGTGTCATTTAGGACCTTAATAAGACATGTTCAGGTACAATGTAACTGTTATTTTGATTTATATAGGCTGAAAACCTCAGATCCATATGATTTGCTCTACCAAACAGAGTGCTTTCCTTCACTTGTGCTTGAAATGATGCAAGTAAGAGGTTTTAAAATCTTACTTACTGATTTACAGGTCAAAATCTTCCTTTGGGATTTGAGAAATTCTGGAATTTCTTCGAAATGTTTGTTGTCCATCAGGTTTTCAAAGCGTGTGTTTTTCCAATTTCTTCCAATATCTTCTCCATACAAAGCTGACAGCTTTTCAGCAGTGCCATCGTCTTCATCATCTTCACCATCATCTTCATCATCATCTTGTTCTTGATCTGTATCATCCCCAAGAATATGGTACAAGGGCTGCAACTCATCTTTCCACTCCTAAAATGCAAAAGAATGGTTAACTTAATTTAATTAAATGGCATGTAGAGAAAACAAACAAATTGTATTTTTGTGGATATATTGTCACTTTTCAACCAGCTTCGAGTCAACATAAACATAATCAGCTCATTTGACCTCTTTTGTAATGAACTCAATCTCTGCCTCATACTCCTGGTTGTCCATGTTAGTCTCCACTTTAATCATGACTGAGGTACATGCACTGACATCTCCTGTGGGCAAAAGATCTTTCTCTCCAATGATTGCATTTATTAGAGAGCTCTTTCCAGCCCCGGATCTACCAAAGACACCAACCAGCTCCTTCTTGTCGGTCTTGAAATCTTTGATTTTAGTTCTGTTGCACAAGGAGTTTAAATGATTAGATTCAAGGTTCAAGGATTTTATTGTCAGTTCACCATATGTGCAGGACATACAGAAAATCGAAATACCGTTTCACCTAGTATTGGGTGCATAACATTTAGGAACTAAAATGGAATAAAGTAGAATAAAAATAGAATAGAATAGATTAAGAACTGGATTGATGTAATTAGGATAAATCTAAACAGTACAGCCAATAAGCTGATTCAAAACTGGGTACAGTCGGTGACAGTAGTGCAAACAATAACAGGAGATTGTCAGATGGTTCAGCATCACCAGGGCATTGGTGATGAGGGGCAAATAGCATACTATACAATATACTATACAAACTATAATAGCATATTAGTTTATAAAATGTAAAAACGCTGGAAAAAAATTCAAAATCAGGATCTGTAGTACTGTTCCAAAATGAACAAATTAGTATATACAGTATGCTAATATATTTAGCAGGCTTGATAGGCATTGAGTTTATGCTGGTACCTACCCTCTCCAGGAAATAGTCATATGTTGCTACAGTCAGTCTAAAGGCTTTTTCAGATAGGACGCGGAGGGCACTGCGCTCCGCTATCAAACCCATTCATTTTTATGCGTTGCGCGGCGCAAGAATGTATCTGAGCTGCACTCAGCTCGGGTGCAAAGTTGCACTTACCATCCCTGCAGGGCTGTGCTAAAGTGACAGCGTGTGCCTGATTTGTGCGTGTGCGCCCTCCTCCCCTGTGCTGCAGCCACTCTCGTGGTGTGCTCAGTGCATATCCAGTCCTATCTGAAAATGGCTTAACACTGAAAAAGACTTTCACCTTCTCCTGTCTACTTGTCTTTGATATGATGCCAATCGAATTACCAGGTATATAAATTAAAGTATTTCAACCATAAATGGTGTTTAAGACACATTTGAGTACAGTGCAACAGGAAACATGTTTTCCACTCGGAGATTACTGTTGCTGTACATTCTGCTACTGAGACTGCTGTATGTCACTATCAGTACATCTAGTTCAGACTCGCTCCACTAATACTGGTCAGACTCGCCCTCCCTCGACACTTCCGGTATCTGCTGTGATTTCTTAACAAAAATTAGAATCAGAATCTGAATCTGCTTTATTGGCCAGGTATACCGGACACACGAGGAATTTGACTCTGGTACAGTGGTTCTCAGTGCGCATGTACATAACCCCATGCAAGGGGAAAGTAAAAAGTAAACCAACCTAAAGCTGTGTAGTATAACAAAATAAACAGTATTAAGAAGCAACAAACAGTGCAAACATTGCAAAATAAACAGTATAAACAGGCAGTAAACAATGTAGAAATACACAATTGGTGGTCATAACATAAACTTATAGGACCAAGACATCATCTGGGAGAGTCTCATGTCTCTGTGCTGTGATACTAATTATACTGTTTAAAGAAAAACTTGAAATCTGAAAAACTTCTAAAACCATTGACCCCTCTCAACTCTAGACACAAGCTGAACAGGAGAATGGGAAATACTCGAAAATTTAGATTGGGCAGCCAGGTAGCCTTGTGCCACTGGCGCGGTCTGACTGTGGGACAAGACATAGGCATATTAGTATAGAACAAGTTAGAAATCATGTTTATTAGACACATTCTGCAGCTTCTCCACTCAATGTGATATCACCACTATAGCTGCTCAATGTTTCAATTCAAAGAGACCAATGTACAATATTTCTGATTTTCAACATTTTTAACAAAGGTTCAAACAAACTGGAACCTTTTGAAGAGAATGAATGAAATTTAAAAGTTTAATTTACAGTAGGTTGACCTCATCATCAGTGAGCATTATAGACTAGTGTGAAATCTGTTGGTGAAACCATCCATGGTCAGGAGTGAAACCAGGTACATATAACAAAGACTATGGAATATGGAAAACTTAAACTTACTTCAGGAAAGCAATGAGCCTTTTGTTGCCTTGGTTGTGTAGTTTTTCACCGACACTTCTCATGATGTCTTGCACATGAGACAGCAGGATTTCCTCTGTCAGAGAAAAGTAAAAAACTATTCAGCAG